CGATGTCATCCACAGCATGCAAAGCCAGCTTTAGGCCAGCTTTTCTAAGAGGTCTATTACTTGCCATCCATCTTCTCCCTCAAGCACGCCACAGATATCTTAGTCGATATACAGCTATGTATATCGACAGCAGTATAGGAAAGACTGCTACAGGACCTCCTGCTTGATCTCAGCCTTTAGCAAGATCAAGTATACATAAACCATACCTGAACCATGTTTGCCCTGACTGTTCATGATTTCCAGGGGCAGAAACTTCACAGAACAAACCCACCTCAAGACCAGTCTCCTTTCTATTATAAAGATCTTCCAAACCTTTTGAGTGAACTGTCCCATCCTGAGCATAACAACCTCCCTTGGCGTTCTCTGATAAAACAGTCAGTCTTTCTTTATCAATCATATCTTCTTATCCTCTGACCTTTCTGATCTCCCTTCTGTACTCACTCCAAACACAAGCAAAAAACAAAAATAAAAAACAAAAAACAAAAATAAAGGCCTCACCCCATCGTTTAACTGTTTTTACTACTCTCTGGATCTGTTCTCATGTTACCTGCATGCTCATTTTCAGCACAGCTCAGAGGAATTCCTGCTCTTCCTTCTGTTGCATAAGCTCTTATGGAGGAAGACACAATAAGATAAATTAATCAGACAATTCTAAGCTAGTAGAAATTGAGTCTGTTCATTATTTGTACCACCCTGGCATCTGAACAATAGGGACTTATATAAACACACATATGCATACATATCTGTATATATTTAAGTGGCTAGGTAGTCAGAAAGAACCTTATTTTCACAATCCTATAAACAGGTTTTTTAAATCTGTTGCTGCTCACAGTGCACGTACATATAGTATCAAAGCCATAGTGAAGCTTGATTCTTTTAGTCCTCCCTCAACATCATAACCACAAACTCCCTTTATCTCTTTGCTTCTGCTGTCACAGGTCTTCCTTTGATGACCTCTGCTAAGGCTTCCTGACTCAAGCCACCTTTGAAGCAAAATCCCTTCTTCACCCATTACAGAGGTTGGGAAAGTAAAAAGTTGTCAGAGGAAAGAAGCAGAGAAGAACAAGTAACATGTTGGGAAACCACTGGCACCTGTGATTACCAGAAGCACATCTCAAAGACATTCCTTTGAACTGGCTAAAACAAGTATTGAAGAATACAGTAAATAGTTGCCATGGGGCTTGTGTAATATAGGCCTCCAGAAATCAAGCAACTAAGCAGTTAATTCACGACTGATTCATGACTTTAGTCATTTATTTCCTCTTTCACTCACAGCTTTTCCTGTCCTGTGCTATCTTCAGAAGAGCCAAGACACAGCTTGTATTCCAGTTCTGTGTATTGGTTATAACTTCATGTGTTTTCATTATTAATACAGGTCTTGTGGCTTTTGTCATTACATGATGTCTAGCCCAAGTGAATGAGTTATAATGACTGACTGCAATTGGAAAGGTTTTCTTGGTTTTGCTTTTGAGAAGCTTACTGTGTGCTTTGTTGTTATTGCTTCAAATCTGGTGTATAAATGGTCCCAAAGGGTCAGTTACGTGGAGTAACATGCAGAAGGATCCATGCTACTGGAACCAAGGACTGACCTCTGATGAAGACCCCTACACAGATTTAGGTTGCAAGGGGAGGTACTAGGCTTGCTTAGTTCTTGTTTATCTGTTTTCAGGCAAGCTGATTTTTCCCAATGATGGCTGGAAGAACTTAGTAGCAACATCCATGTGCCATCAGACCTGCCTACGGGAAGCTGCGAGACCACTTCAGATGTACAAGCAGATAATTTGTAAAGTTTAGGGAGTTTAAAACTTCTTTAGATAATAATAGTATTAAGATAACACTGACTGCTCTCATCACCTGTATTAATGTTCCATCATCATTTGGGATCTCATAAACACTTGACCTTAGTGACATTCTCTGCCAAAGAACAAGGCTGGTTTCTACTCTGTTAGAGCTACATAAGCTGGTAGAGCAAGTTCCAGGCCTATCACAAACTTGAAGACTACAGCTCAGGCAGGTTTCAACTAATAGGGCATGGTCTTCAGTGTTGGAGAAGACAGAAAGATGAGGCTTTGAGCTGCTTATTACAAAGTCAACCTTGTTCCTCCAATAACTCATTTTGATATTTTGCAATTTGCAAAAATGCGCCCCTGCAATCCCACAGGCTCTTAACTACTTCGTAATGAGCACGCACGAGCAGATGGAAAATGTTTTCCATTTCAGAGAAAACCGCTAATGGATGTCACCAGCTATTAGAAAAGCTCAGGTGGTTCCATTTGAGGAGAATAGGGATTGTCATCAACATCCTTATTTTTAAAGAAATCTTTGCTCATTTCCACCTTGAAGGTAAGCCTAAGACTGCTGGTATTAGACAAAACAGATCAGAAATTGAGCTGAAAATTACTCCCTGTTAAGTAGGCCAGAATTTTAGGCATGGGGAGGAAAATGGGCAATAGTGATAATAGTGGGAAGCCCTTCCTACTGCTCTGTTTATGGCAACAGATAAATCTGATGCTCTCCATATATTGGCAAGGCAATGACAGAAGCATGACTAGAATTGCTATGCATCTACACACAAAAATACATTTCAGTTTCAGTGTAGGAAACTGCAAAGCCAATTGATTTTTTTGTTTCAAGCCAAGTGACAAATTTGGTACATATAAACACACAGCCAAAATACAAAACGTCACTGTTGTTTTGTCCTGTTTCTTTCTCCATCTTCATTTTCTCTTTGCAACTTAAAGGAAGAGGAAGCATTGCCTGGATGTCCTCTTCAGCATACTTAGTCTCCTTCAAAATATGCGAAATTTCCAGAATTTCTGGAGCCTTCCAGCACAGCAATGTGCCAGCACTCACGTCCTCACTCACTTCATAAAACAAAACTATTTTAATGATGTCACTTCCTCCAGTCCTGCCAACATTTCAGCATCTTCCCAGTTAACTACATCCATCACAATAAATGATATCGTGAACCATCAGGCTTTGCACAACACCACAGCTCCCAATTCTGCTGCATGCCTTCCTCTGCAGGCAGGCTGAGCTTGTTTTAAGTTGATTTTATTTCAATTAACAAAGGAAAGAGAAATCTTGTGAACAGCTGGGCTGTAGCAAGCCCCTTATCCAGGCTCATAAAAGTGGTAGATAAACCACAGAAAACTTTCCACAGGCACAGAATAGCAGCCACTGTACTTCTCTACGGCTCTACACTGAAGGTAACAGATACCTTTTCTTGAAATGTGTCTTTCGATTTCATAGGGCAAGGGGGGAAAATTAATAAAATAAAAAATAAAAATCAGCTATCAGGCTCAAATAACCCAATACTTGAATGCATTTTGCAGAAGTGCTGCTCACTCAACAGCCAACGGTCCAACAGGACAACAGCTTCACCCCACTGTTTATTTCATGCTCTTGGGTAAAAATAGGGCCTGCCCAAAACAGGTCACTCACCCGCCCAATTGGACAACCCAAGGTCACTTTTCAGATTGACTCTGCATCAAAATCCTCCAAAATGACTGCCCAGGATTTGCTGAACACAAGCCTTGCTCTCCCTTTGCCAATTAGATCAACCACCATAAAACATCTCTTCAAAAGATGAAGTTTAAGCAGACGCTTAGTTTCTTCCCCCTACCTCAATACAATCCTTCCATGATCAATGCAGGGCAGCAATTTGGTCTTTACAGTGGTCTAGTGGTCCCAATTAGAGCAGAAACAGTACAAATCTAGGATCAGAGGGCATCAAGTGTGAGCAGTTTCATCGCATGGAGTGCATGCATGAAGTCAGGCATGTTGGAATATGTTGCATTACTCTGGTCCTGGCCACTCCAGCAGTCTTAGACAAATCTTAGAGCAGTTCTGTGCAGCCCAGTGCTTCCTGTTTTCAAAGTCAGGAGGAAAAGTAAAAACAAAATAGGAGTTTTTCTTCCTACCTTGACCCATTGCTTGCTACCTGTCATGAGTAATAGTACAGAAAACGTAGAGATTTTCCCCTCATTTCTGGACTGTCCCTTACAATCACATATTTTCCCGCCCAGATCTACCACAAAAATGCATCTGCAGACTTACTCCATTATTGTTATTCGTTATTCAATGTTATAAGGACTCATTATTAGGATAGGTTGCCCAGGAGTGCCTAAAACTGGACAATATGTTGGAAAAAGAATTCTCTCCTCTAATTTCTTTATGGCAAAAGGCAGATAACAGGTAAATGCAGATTGATGGGGCAAGACAAGGAAACAGTGAGAAAGGATCAGCATAAGCAGAGGGCTCAACTTAGCACTGCTGTCAGATTAGCTCATGGGCATCCAGATTAAGGAGAGCTTTGGAAAGATAGTAGAAGGAAGGAATCAGTAATGACATTTTCTTGGGAGGCCACTGCTGCCCACGTGCTAGGGATCAGCATAGGAGAAAATATCAAAGCAATTGCTTGAGAACAGCCTTAGAGCTTTGAGGCATATCTGGCATTGCTGCAATTTTGTGAGTAAGAGAGACTGAAATACCCCCTGGAAGACATAAACCAGTTTCAGGCCAAGTGCCCACTACACTGTTTCTGAAGAGGATACTTCTACAGGGAAAGTACATGAAGGAATAGACCAATGATTCCTTCTTATAGAGCAAATAGAGAAGCAAAACAGAGATCTATAAAAGGTCTGAATATCTGAAAATATTATGAAGCACCCAACAAAAGAGCTGTTCTTTAGTGTTTTGTAGTTCTGCCTCCTAGGGTAAGTTTCCTTTTTCTAGACTAGAACTTGTGTTTTCTGAGACTAGGAACCAGGCCTTAGAACTTCTTTAAATATCTCTCTTTAGAGAAATAAAGAGAAATTCCAACCACCTCCTAGGCTTCATGCATGTATTCTCTCACTGGGCAAGGAGAAGAATGGCAAAACCAAGTAGGTTGACTTGCAGAGAGTTGAAGTTATAGAAAACTTACTCATCTTTTCTGGATTAGAACATGGTTAATGTGACTGCCTGAAGCCCAAAGTAATCAGTGTGCAAGCACCAACCTTTGCGTAGGCTGCAGGAATTAAGCTGTTTAAGCTGAGGAATGCTTCGGATCTGTCTCAAACTGGAGTCTTCTGCCTCCTTTTTTGTCCTCTTGAACTCTGTCCAACAGCTTTTTACAGGTTAAATGCAAGAGCTTTGCAAATTCCTCACAAATTTCATAGCAGGAAGGACAAGGGTAGCCGGGCTGGAATAAAGCACCTAAAAGAAGTGACAAGGCAGATTTGAAGTTTTACTTTCAGTGCTGAACTCCTCACTAAGCCATAAAGGTGACATTATATGTTTGACTTTTCAAAGCCATTCGATAAAGTAAACAATTAAATTGTATCCAGAAAGGAAATCAACAAAGTACATGCAGAAATTGGATTTTATCTAAAGAAATCTTGTACTTAAGTATATTTTGATTTTAAATCAACTATTTTCTTAACCACTAGAAGTTAAAGTCGGAGCAAGGATTCTTCAAAAGCCTGAAAACAGTCTAACAATTTGTATTTTCCCAAAATAACATTTAAGGCTGTAATACCTATTTGCTGACATAGGTTTTTAAGGTCAAAGCACCAAACAATTAGCAACTCCTTGCTAAGCACAGGAGACAAAGTTTGCTGAAATGCCAAGGCACCTTTGTATAGCAGCTTCACAGGGAAGTTTATTTAAATATAGTTGGACTGATGAATAATTCATTCTGTGATGAGAAACTGGCTGGGAACTACAGGGCAAGTCATTTTCCTCTCTGAATTTTGAATAAACAGGTACTTGAGAAGAGCTCTCTTAGCTCCATGATCTTCAAGGCCACAGGGACCAAAGGAGGAAAAAAAAAAATCACTTCATTTAACTAACTACAGATGATGTTCTCGTGCTCAGTGCATCAGTTACTGTAAAAGGAAATTCACAGGGAAAAAACGTCACCGAGTAGATAAACGCAAGATAAGTGCAACCATTCACTACTTTGAACATGAATTATACAAAAAAGCAAAAATTTGAATAGAACGCTATGGTATCTGGGCTCACTGAGCCATGAATTTTAGCAAGTTTTAGACATCTTTGTTGAGGATGAGGGGTACCCATGCAAGAAAACATTTAGAAGCCATCACTAAAAACCTCGAAGCTTCTTAATTCATCAAATGACTCAAATCTGTCTTAAAATATTTTGACCCCCATCTACCCGTCCTGGTTATGGGCAACAACATGAGCCCCTGAGAAACACCCCATAGTTCACTTTAACAAAGCTTTATAAGATGCTCGATTTCCCATCCTTTGATTTCCACGGAGGGAATACATGATTTCCACGGAGGGAGCGCACTGCCAAGGTACATAAAGGCGTTAGCACAAGGAGTACCTCCAGCCCAAGGGATTTTCAGCACTCAGCTATACAAGACCCAAGGGGACTAATCTAACACTGAATTTGGCCCAATTTGGAGTAGGAGAGCTGGACCAGAGACCTTCATAGGTCCCTTCTCACCTAAGCTGCTCCATGAGATGTGTAAATTCCCCACCATCACCAACTTACTCCATTGGGATGTCATTGTGAGCTGTCTTTTGCAGCATTTGCAGGAGAAATGGCATGAGAAACAGTCAACAGAAAGGGAAGAGACATTCTGCTCAGAATGGAAACCCCATTTCCCAGAGATATGGGAAGTTTTAGACCTATCCCCATACCCTTCACATGGGGAATGAGATGCCACTCATTTCCAAATGTTCCACAAGGGAAAATTAGTGCAGGTAGCCCAATGCAAACTCATTAGACAAATAACTAACAGTTGAAAAACTACAGAAGAAAAATACCTGTGGAGAGATTATTCAGTGTTTCTATATCCATCTATGAATATCCATTACAGCAAACCACAAAATACACAAGCACAACATCTCTGACTTTAAAACTGGCAATTTCAGTACTGTACAAAGTATAAAAAGCCTAAGAGCAAATCAGTTTAAGACAACAATCAGTTTTGGTAGGTTTAAGAGTGGGTTGGCATGAAACACTAAGCATTTGACAGAAAGCCATTGAAATGCTGAGCATAACAACTCTTAAAATCACATAATCTGAAGTGAAACGGGTAGAAGGGAGCCTGCGATTGTACTGTTCACATTTTTCTCATAAAGTCAAAACATTGAAAATACAAGCCCCAGAGCCAGAAAGATAATCGCACTTTTCCAAAGACGGTGCAATGAAGCTTAATGGTGGTACAACCTTTACAAGGTGATGCAACTAAAACGTAGTTTAGTGATGCAGCCTTGCTGTGCCACAGTTCAACAGCGAAGCGAGTCAACGCTGAAATCAATGCTGTAATTTATGAGGGTGTCCTTTCTGGGGCCCTCCTTTTACAAGTCAAATTTGGTGGCAGAATAACATTTTCCAAGAGCAACATAGCATTTGCTAATGCGTCAGGCAGCAGTTTGCAACGTACCCTCATCTGAGATCATATTTATAAAAGGCATGTTCAAGTTAATCCCTCTGAGACCACTGACTGGCACCTAATGCCTAATTCTCACTATCCTGTGTATTTCTACATACAAAAACGGTGCAGCAGGCAGAGAACACTGGAAAAAATGGGGGCAACAGAGAGAGCTCTTGCAAGTGAAATAAACAGCATGTTGCAAAGCTCAACAGGCACCCAACACGATCCCCCCAAAAATGTGTTCACTCTCCTAGAGTTTCCTTTGGACAAGTGATAGGAGTTAGCAAGTCAACAGCCTAACTCACCTCTCCTCAGTGACTTAACTCAGGGACAGGAGGCTGGAGAACAGTTTCAGCTGAAACCATTTGATATTAAGAATGGAATTCAGCTGATTTTATAATCCTGCTTTGAGGAGCAAGAGCTGGACAACCATCTCAGGAGCATTATCATTCCCTTTGCTCCTAAAGAAGGCCTTTGAGGGGTGACAGGGAGCTATAGGCACCCTGGCTTGGCACTAGTGAATGAGCTATTCACCAGGCAAGAGGCAGAGTTGTGAAAACCTTCAGGGAAAAGTCACTATTTTTCCTCCTAGAAAATTTGTTTCTCCTTTCCTGGTTTTCTTCTTAGTTCTCTCTTTACAGTTTGCCTCTTTAGGAACCTTTTTTTTTGCTAGGTATCACGGATGAACTGCAGAAATGTGAATCACTAGACCCACCCCAAAATAACTGGCTTCATGTTAATTGAAATAATCTAGTCTACTTATCCAGTGGCTACAATCTCCACGTGGGGACCTTCTTTACTGAAGTCTTCTTACTTTTGGGACCAACCATACTGCATTTAGTTATAAATCCCTAATTCTCAGATATCATTACAAATAAATACCAATGCAAGAGGTTGTGGAAAATGGTTTGAACCAGGCTATTAGACAGAAGAAACATCAGGAGATATTTTTCCATATCCACTTCAGTTCTGGGCTTCTACTACACACTGAAGTCAATGACTACTCACTCAGTTCCTCCAAGAGGAAATGAGTCAGTGGCTGAGAGCTGAGGCCAGAGCTCCAAGGTTCCTCAACACCTCCAACTGCTCCATCCATCTGTCTGCACTGCCTCCTATGGTTGATTTTTAAGAACTGCAAAGTTATAATGGACTCATTTATATGCTTGAAAGAAAGCCAGTTGTTTGTTGGATGCCTTTAGTGTAGCTTAAATAGTGCAGAAAAAAAATGCCTTGGACAATTTGGAGAGTTGTCACTTCATAGCTACAGTTATTACATAGAATTGTGTTTTAATCCCAAAATGCACCTATGCAGGGAAACAGCAACACCAAGTAACAGTTAGTTATTGAGAACAACACTTCAAGGACAGCTGGATTATTACCTTTGCAGAAAAGTACTCACATTTCTGCTGAGCAACCTTCTTCATTTCCCTTTATTACTGAAACTTAATGAGATAGTAATATAAGACATAATTAATTTTATAATCATTTTTAAATTAACACCACAACCAAAAGGGAATTCCATCTACAGTCTGTTTGGATCTCTGGTCTCTCTGCTGAGAGAGACAAAAACATCCAACAATTAGTGCCAGGGGTGATGAGTTGTGGGGGTTTAATTCCCGAGCAAAGTGAGAAGGATGCTGCTTTCCGGAGAGCATCAAACAGTTACCAGATGGCAGAAACCCACCAAGTTCTTATGACCAAAAGCAGAAAAGGGAAGGGTCGTTTTGCATTTGAGAAGCTAGACTGGAAACCTGGAGGCCTCAATTCATTTTGCCTCTGCAATGTACTCAACTATCAACACATGTATCACTTGGAACATGGTCCTGTTATCACCCACAGCAATGGCAAGGTTCTGTTCAGGAGAATGTATTTGAGGGCATAAAGAAACCAGCTTCATATGGGGCTGGAAGTGCTCCCTGCCTCAGTTTTCCAACTATAAAACAGATTTAGGAACACACATCATTTGATCTGGTGAACCCTTTTCCCATTTCATCTTTTTAAGGCCCAATCCTGTAAAATTCACCCCTCAGGACTTACTAAGGTAACAGCAGGGCTAAAAACTGAGCTGCTCTAGGGACAATCTCAGGAAGCTCATGCTCACAAGGACCATGAGATCTATCCCCCAGCAAGAGGTCAAATGGCACCAAGCCCAACAGATGCTTCAAAGTGCTTGTGGCTTTGAAGTGGGGACACTTACAGGGGGAAAAAAAGTACATAATAAATGGAAAAGTTCTCTCTATTCTTCATCAGTTCACAGCATCATCATATTTCACCTCCAACACCACACTGGACTTTCATTGCCATTTACATTAATGCACAGTGTATCCATAAGGCTGCAGACTCTGAAGATGGATGGACCATTTCTAATCAATATTAAGCACTGGCCTCACACCATTACTAATGGAGAGAAAGGAGGCTAGGCCTGCTTTGTGGTGCTTCCAACGCACAGTTGGCCACATAGAACATGCTGGTGGTTTTCAATTACAACAGGATCTATTCACATGGATTGATGCATTTCAGACAAGGGGGAAAAATAAGCATGAGAGACTAAGTAGCTCAGGACTTCTTTCCACACTGATGCACAGCACAGTTATCAGGTAGGGAGCACGCAGCCGTGTTTCATGGATTATTGAGGAGAAGCCTCAGCTCCTGCGGATGGTAAAAGGGTGCAATGCACAGCGAGCGTTCTCCATTACTTTCACTCGAGCTGAGAAGTGTTTTAGCCCCGTTTTCTCTCTGCAGGGACACCCGGCTCCAGGGTCACCTCTCACACCTGCTGCCGAGGCCTCCAGAGGTGCC